AATGGAGTAATCAATCATCCCAACCAAAAAAAAAAAAAAAAAAAAAATGCCCAGAGGAATTCAGTACAGAATTTCAAAGCGGGTCTAACAGTCTATCACCAATACTACTTAAGTTATTCCACACAATAAAAGCAGAGCAACATTTCCAACATCTTTCTATGAGGTTACAGTTACACTGACAAGCAAAACAGACAAAAACAAAACAAGGAAACATGATTATAGACCAATTTCCCTTATGAACATAGATACAAAAATACTCAATAGAATACTGTAAACCTGAATTCAAGAACACATCAGAAAAGTCATCCACATTGACCAACTAGGATTTAGCCAAGTAATGCAGGGATGGTCCAACATATGAAAATCCATCACCGTAATCCACCACATAAACAAACTGAAAGGAAAAAAAATCACATGATCATCTTACGAGATGCTGAAAAGCCTTTGACAAAATTCAACACTCCTTCATGATAATGTCCTCCAGAGAAGTCTACTACTTGAAGTTCTATCTAGAGCAATAAGACAACAAAAAGAGATCAAAGAGAGACAAATTGGAAAAGAAGAAGTCAAAATGTCACTATTTGCTGATGATATGACAGTATACATAGTGACAGAAAAATTCTACCGGAGAAATTCTACAACTGATAAACACCTTCAGTAATGTAGCAGGATACAAGATTAACTAAAAAAATAAATATCAGTAGCCTTCCTATATACAGATAACAAACAGGCTGAAAGCATATCAGAAAAGGCATCACCATTCACTATAGCCCCAATAACCTAAAATATCTTGGGGTAACTCTAACCAAACAAGCAAAATACCTGTAAGGCAAGAACTTCAGGTTTTTAAGGAAAGCAATTAAAGAAGACACTGAAAAATGGAAAGATCTCCCATGTTTTGGCTAGGTAGGATCAGCATAGTAAAAATGGCAATTCTACCAAAAGTAATATACACATTCAATGCAAACTCCCACTTCAATTCTTCACAGACCTGGAAAAAGCAATACTCAACTGCATATAGAAACACAGAAAACCTAGGACACACACCAATCTGTACAACAAAGACTCATCTGGGGCATCACTATCCCCGATTTCAAACTCTAGTATACTAATGAAAACAGATTGGTATTGGCATAAATACAGACATATGGACCATTGGAATCAAATCAAAGAGCCGATATCAACCCATCACCTATGAACACCAAAATTTGGAACTATACAATGGATAAAAGAAAATATATTCAACAAATAGTGCTGGTATAACAGGCTGTCAAATTATAGCAAAAGGCAAATGTATCAAAATCTATCATCATGCACATAAGTTAAGTACAGATGGATCAAGACCTCAATATAAATCCATCCACTCTAAACCTCATGGAAGAGGAAGTGGAAATACATTTGAATGAACAGACACAAGAGACCAGTTCCTAAATAGAACAGTAGTAGCACAGACTCTGAGACCAACAATTAATAAATGGGACCTCCTGAAGCTGAGAAGCTTCTGCAAAGCAACGGACACTTCTCCATCCAAAATGGGAAAGATCTTTACCAACCCCACTTCTGACAGAGGGCTGGTCTCCAAACTATACAAAGATCTCTAGGAACTAGATATCAAACTACCAAATAATCCAATTGCAAAATGAGATACAGCTGTAAATAGAGAATTCTCAAGATAACAATCTCATATGGCACAAAGATACTTAAGGAAATGTTCAAAATCCTTAGTCAATAGGGAGATGCACATCAAAACCTCTCTGAGATTCCATCTTATAGCAATCAGAATGGCTATGATCAAAACCGCCAGTGAGGCCTAACCACAAAAGACCAAAGTGAGGCCGCACTGGCCCGATTTTTGGATCCCACCAGTTCTGGCGCTCTGCCAGAGTTGAGTCTGGGACCAGTTCAGTGTTCCATCCTTCCCCTGGAAACTCCCTGGGTAGCTCCAGATCTCACTCCCCCATGTATCCTAGTCTGGATAGAACAATCCGGGTATTCTGCTCCATACACCACCCAGAGCCTGCCTTCCCCACCTTTGTGCTGCTGGCCTGATGCTCCAGGTGAGCATTGGGCCAGAGTGTGTGTCCAACAACTCCCACACCTCTGTGGAACTTCCTAGGTCTGCTCTGAGCACTCTGGATCCTCTTATCTATGCAGAACCACCTTGAGGCTGCACTCACCTGATCTTTGGATCCCACTGCCTGCCCTCTGCCCAAGGAGAGAACTCTAAGAGAGCTTGGTTCATCCAGAGCTGCAGACAAAAAATTCTGAACCACCTACACCTAACAGGAGAGTAGCGTAAAGAGAGAGACATACTCCAACTGCACCCACTGGAACAAGCCATGGGAAGATGGCAATACAAGAAAACAACCAACAGTAGAAAGACCAGTTTGACACCACCAGAATGTAGAGACTCTACACCAACTAGACCTGAACACAGCAAAGCAGATGAAGGAGAAGATAATGATTTAAAAAATAACTTCATAAAAATGATGGAGGCCCTCAAAGATGATAAGAGAAAATCCCTTAAAGAAATGGGACAAAAACCAAACAAAAAATGGGAAGCAAGAGAGGAAAAGACCAAGCAAAAACTGCAAGAAATGAAGAAATATCTTAAAGAAATTAAGGATGCCAAGAAAAGTCATCAAACAGATGAAGGAAACATATTAAACAGTTCATGACATGAAAACTAAAACAGACAGTAAAGAAAACACAAACTGAGGGAATGCTAAAATAGAAAAACTGGGTAAATGATCAGGAACTACAGATACAGAATACAAAGGATGGAAGATAGAATATCAGGCACTCAAGATGAACTAGAAGAAATAGATTCTGCAAACCAAGAAAATCTTAACTCCAACAAATCCTTAACACAAAACATCCAGGAATTGGGGGACACGGTGAAAAGGCCAAACTTGAGAATAATAGGCACAAAAGTAGGTGAGAAGCCCAGCTCAATGGTGCAGAAAACATATTAAAAAAATCACTGAAGAAAACTTTCCCAATCTGAAGTTGGACATTCCTATGAAAGTACAGAAGGAGACCAAATATCAAAAAGACTGAACCAAAGAAAAAAGACCTCTTGCCACATAAATCAAAACACCTAACACACAAATAGAGAAAGAATATTAAGAGCAGGGAAGGGAACAAACCAGGTAACATAAAGGCAGACCTATCAAACTTACATCATACTTCTCCTTGAAAACTATCACGGCCAGAAAATCCTGAATAGATGTTCTGCAAGTACTAAGAGTCCACAGATGCCAGCCCAAGCTACTATACCCAGCAAAACTCTCAATCGCTATAGACAGAGAAAACTAGATATTCAACTACAACACCAGATTTCACAATATGTACCCACAAATCCAGCCCAACAGGAAGATCTGGAAGGAAAACTCCAACCCAAGGAAGGTAACAACACTCACAAAGGCATAGGCAATAGATAATCCCACTTCACCAGAAAACAAAAGAAAAAGCAGGACAAATATACTCACAATACCTCTGCCACAATAAGAATGTATCTAAAAGAACTCAGGAATTAACAATCAATGGTCCTTACATTCCCTCGACATTAATGGTCTGAACTGACCTCTAAAAAGTTACGGCCTAACAGAATGGATACAAACAGAATCCATCCTTCTGCTTATACAACATATACATGTAAGCTTCAAAGACAACATTACTCCATGGTAAAGGGTTGGGAAAGGATCTTCCAATCAAATGGACCCAAGAAGCAAGCAGGTGTAGCTATCCTAATATCTAACAAGTTAGACTTCAAACCAAAATCAACCAAAAGAGATGAAGAAAGTAATTTCATATTCATCAGAGAAGAAAGCCATCAGTACAAAGTCTCAGTTCTAAACATCTATGCCCCAAATACAAGGGCACCCACATTCATAAAGGAAAGGCCACGAAATTTCAAAACTCACCTAAAACCTCACACACTCATAGTGGGAGACTTCCACACCCCACTCTCACCACTAGACAGGACCACCAGTCAGAAACTTAACAAAGAAACCAAAGAACTATCGGAAGTTATGTCTCAAGTGGGTTTAATAGACATCTATAGAACATTCCATTCAAATACAAATGAATATACCTTCTTCTCTGCTACACATGGAACCTTCTCTAAAACTGACGACAAACCAGGCAACATGACAAATGTCAACAGATACAAAAGTATTGGAATAGTCCACTTTATCTCATCAGAACACCATTCTTTAAAGTTGGAATTCAGATGCATCTCCCTGCCTCTCTGGGCAAAGGTAGCGGACTCCGCAGCGTGGTTGCAGTGCTGGCGCGGTCCTGGGCTCCGTGGCTGTGGCGGTGAAGGCGGCCTGGCTGCGAGGTGTAGCTGCTGGTGGGCAGGTCCTGATCTCAGCAGACTATGAGCTTCCAGAACCTGTGGAGAGAATACAAAGCTCTGATTGTTATGGTGCCTTTAATTGGGTTCATACATTCAGGCTGGCACAAAATCAAAAGCAGCCCTGTCTTCCAAATTCCTAAGGACGATACCACTGAACCAGATAAGCCTGGCACTTGCAAGTCAACCAAAGAGCCAACCCTAGAAGAAGTAGCAGGCTTTCAGTTTTCAGAAAGAAGCACCTTTGAATCTGAACTTGATAATAAAAGAAGAAATGAAAAGCGCCAGTTGGTTTAGAAAGAACTGGCTTCTCGAAGCTGGGGTGACTTTTATAGGTGTCCATCTTGGAACATACTTTATAAAGAGAGCTGCAAAAGAGTCTGTGAGATCTCAGTCCAGGGACAAACAGAAGAATATTGAAGAATGAAGCAAAATAAATACTTGGAATTATTGATGTCATTAAATTAATATATGTTGGTTATTTTCTGAAAACCATTTGATTTTGTAGCTGATAATGCTGAATGTGCAGACTCTCATTAAGAATAGTTTTTAATGTTAAAACATGTGACAGTATAATAAATGGGACAAAAAAAAGGGTGAACAAAATAAAGCTGTCTGTACAAGGGCCATCTGAAGCAGAATGTCTCGTTTCGAAGCTAAGAAGCCATCATTGTGTAAAACTGAACCATTGACAAGTGAGAGTGTGAGGTCCACACTTTCTGCCTTGAAAAGAATCCTAGCCTCATGCTATGGCCCTTCAGGGAGGCTGAAGCAGCTGCATAATGGCTTAGGGGGTTGTGTGTGTACAACCTCACAGTCCTCAGCTTTGCTTCGAAACCTCTCAGTCACCCATCCAATTCTAAAGGTCCTAACAGCATCTGTGCAGAATCATGTGTCCTGCCTCAGCGACTGTGGCTTATTTACAGCCATTCTGTGTTGTAACCTGGTGGAAAATATTCAGAGAATAGGCTTGACACTCACAAAGGTTATTAAGTTAAATAAATACTTCTTGGGTCTGTGCACAAGTTATCTTCAGTCTGAAGCCTGTAGTTGTCGAATCCCAGTTGACTTCAGTAGTACACATACCTTCCTAGGCTTGGTCCACAGTATCTTAACCAGCAAGCCTGCCTGTATGCTCAACAGAAGGGAAGCAGATCACATCAGTGCTTTGATTTTGAAAGCTTTTTTGCTTACAATTCCAGAAAGCGCCAAAGACCGAGTCATTTTAGGGAAGCTTATAATTGTTCCCTTAAAGGGCCAAAGAGTTACAGATTCTACTGTATTACCTGGACTGCTGATTGAAATGTCAGCTGAAGTTCAACTAAGGAGATTATCACCAACCCAAAAGTCAAGTGCCCTCAAGGTGGCGCTCTTCTGCGTGTCTTTATTCGGAGATTTTTCTAATGTTGGAGAAGGAACAGTGGTCTCTTGAGAATGCAGTTCTAGAGCAATTGCTTAATCTGGGAAGGCAGCTAGTTGGTGACCAGGTAGATCTTGTCCTGTGCCAAAAAGTTATGCACCCATCTTTGAAGCAGTTACTCAGTGAGCATCTCGTTATTGCCATCAACAGAGTTGGAGTTTCTCTGATGGAACCCCTGAGCAAAGTGACAGGAGCAACACCTATTGGTTCCCTAAACACAATAGCTTCTACTACTTACGGAAGTAGAAAAGATTTGTGCTCTGCAAGATTTGGCTCCAAACATTTTTTCCATCTTATTCCTAACGAGGCGAGTGTCTGCAGCTTGCTTCTCTGCAGAAGGAATGACACTGCCTGGGAGGAGCTAAAGCTCACGTGTCAAACAGCAATGCATGTCTTACAGTTAACAATCAAGGAACCATGGATTTTATTGGGTGGTGGCTGTACAGAAACACATTTGGCTGCTTATATCAGGTTCTTAATGAGGCAGAAGACATTGTCATTGAGGATGGTTACTCTAAAGCAGAACTCCGGATTGCTACTGAAGCATTTTGCAGTGCTCTAGAGTCCGTTGCTGGCTCTTTGGAACATGATGGTGGTGAAGTCCTCATTGACATGAAGAATGGACACTTTTGGTCAGGTCCATCCGATTTTACTTCTGTTGTTAACTGACCTGATATGCTGTCAAGATGTGGGTGTGGCTTGTACAATAGCCAGGAAGGACTCAGCTGGTCTTTCTTAAAAAGCACATATTATCCTTTTGCACCTCAAACCTGCCTTGCACGGGCTGCTGTGGGCTCAGCCAGCAACATGACTGTGGACTGTTTCACTGCCAAGCTTAGTGGCCTACAAGTGGCTGTAGAGACAGCCAATTTGATTTTAGATCTTTGGTATGTCATTGAAGATAAAAACTAACGTAAGAGATAGGCATATTTATGTTACGAAACAAAATAGTTCAGATGTCTAAGAAAAAATGGTTATCGTTCCCTCCCAAAGGCCTGTTCTGTATAGGTGGAGCAATGATTTATGAAAGTATAGACTTACCTACTTAAGGAAGGCTGTGGATGTTAAATAGACATTAAGAGAGTAATAATAATTCTTGATGCCTTTGCATCATCACCCCACATTTGGAGGTTATAAATACTAAAGATAGTGTGTCACCTAAGAATATGGGAATTTCTCTTGTAATTTTTCCAAGTTGCTACAATGAGGAGTGACCCTGAACCTTTCCCACTGGCAAGATAAGAGTCTTCACTTTTCATGATAGCCATAGCTTTTCATAAAACTGGATACTTTCCTTGATGTAACATTGTTGCTCTCATTTTAAATACTATAAAAATTGTTGGGATGTCTTAATAGACTCGTTGTGTTCACAAAAAAACATAAATAAAGTTGGAATTCAACAACAACATAAATTGCAGAAACCCTACAAGCTCATGGAAACTCAACAATGCCCAAATGCACCATTCCTGGGTCAAGGAGGAAATAAAGAAATTAAAGATTTCTTAGAATTCAATGAGAATGAAGACACAACATACTCGAACTCATGGGACATTTTGAAAGCAGTGCTACTAGCGAAGTTCATTGCACTAAGTGCCTATATGAACAAAATGGAGGATAGTCATATTAGAGAATTAACAGTACGCTGAAAGCCTTAGAAGAAAAAGAATGAAACTCACCCTGGAGGAGTAGACACCAAGAAATAGTCAATTTGAGGGCTGAAAACAATACAGTAGAAACCAAGAAAACAATACAAAGAATCGATGCAACAAAGAGTTGGTTTTTGGAGAAAATCAGCGAGACAGACAAACCTTTATGCAAACTAAACAAAAAGCAGAGAGAACATGCAAATCAACAAAATCTGAAATGAAACGAGAGACAAAACATCGGACAATGACGAAATCCACACAGTTTTCACATCAAACTTTCAAAACATGTACTCCACAAAATTCAAACATTCAAAGGAAATGGACAATTGTCTGTATAACTATCACTTACCAAAATTAAATCAAGAAGACATAAGCAACTTAAATAGACCTATAACCCCCTAACGAAATAGAAACAGTCATGAAAAGCCTCCTATTCAAATAAGCCCAAGGCCAGATGGCTTCAGTGCAGAATTCTACCAGGTATTCAAAGAAGAGCTTATACCAATACCCCTCAAATTGTTCCATGCAATAGAAGCAGAAGGTACATTACCAAACTCTTTTTACTAGGCCACAATTATCTTGGTACCCAATCCACACAAAGACACAAGCAAGAAAGAGAACTACAGACTAATCTCTCTCATGAATATTGTTGTAAAAATACTCATAAAATACTGGCAAATTGAATTCAAGAAAACATCAGAGATATCATCCTCCATGACCAAGTACACTGCATCCCAGGGATGCAGGGATTGTTCAAGATACAAAAATCTATCAATGTGATCTACCATATAAAGAAACTTAAAAAAAACACACACACATTATAATTTCGCTAGATGTTGAAAACTCCATTGACAAATGATCCTTTCAGGATAAATGACTTGGAGAAATCAGGGATAACAGGAACATACCTAAATAATAAAAGAAATATACAGTAAACCAACATCCAATATCAAACTTAAGGCAATTCCACAAAAATCAAGAACAAGACAAGGCTGTCCACTCTCTCCATATCTCTTCAATATTGTCTTTGAAGTTCTAGCTAAAGCAATAAGACAACAAAATGGAGATCAAGGGGATTGGAAAGGAAGAAGTCAAACTGTCACTATTTGCAGATGATATGATACTTTACATAAGTGACGTGAAAAACTCTACCAGGGAACTCCTACAGCTGATAAACACGTTCAGCAAACTAGAAGGATACAAGATAAACTCAAGAAAACCAATAAGTCTACTCTATACAGATGATAAAAAGGCTGAGAAAGAAATCAGAAAAACATCATCCTTTACAATAACCACAAAAAATATAAAGTATCTTGGGGTAATGCTTACCAAACATTTGAAAGACCTATGGAGCCAGAATGTTGTGTCTTTAAAGGAAGAAATGAAAGAAGATACCAGAAAACGGAAAGACCTCCCATACTCTTGGATAGATTGAGTAAACACAGAAAAATGGCAATCTTGCCAAAAACAATCTACAGATTCAAAACTATCCCCATCAAACTCACAGCACAATTCTTCACAGACCTAGAAAGGATAATACTCGACTTTATATGGAAAAACAAAAGACCCAGGATAGCCAAAACAACCCTGTGAATGAAAAATAAGATTCAATCAATCATTTATGTTTAAGTGTGTGCTTGTGTGTGTGTGTGTGTGTGTGTGTGTGTGTGTTCATAAATGTGAGTGAAGGTGTACATGGAGGCTAGTTTTCTATGATCCTGTGGAGCCAACCCTACTGGTGGTCTGGGAGCTGTTTGATGGCGATTCTAGGAATGGACCTGAGTCCCTTGGAAGGCCCTTTTAGCCACTGAGCCTTCTCTCCAGCGAAGAATTGAAAGTGCTGCCTCTAAGAAGTACATGTAATCTCAGCTCTTGGGACAGTGGCATGAAGACTATGAGATCAAGGCCATCTTGGATTATATAAAGAGAGTCTGCCTCCAAAAATAAATTTGCCAGGGACCCACCATTGATCCCAGAATTCTGGTGGAAGAGGCATGCAGAACTTTGTGAGTTCAAGGCTAGCCTGGTCTGGAAACTGAATGCCAGGACAGACTCCAAAGCTACACAGAGAATCCCTATCTTCAAAAAACAAAAAAAAAAAATTAACAATGAATATTAACCTTTTTATTTTGGGATAGGGTCTCATGTAGCCCATTTTGGCCTAGAACCTGCACCAATTCTCCCCACCCCCACCCCCATGTACATAATATCCTCTCTGCTTCTTGCTTCTACTTTTGAGTGCTGGTAAATCCAGAATCTGACAGCACATCAGCTTTTGACGTCCTGGGATTTAGACCAGGGCTTCAAGTGTGTTGGCCAAGCATTCTACCTACTGAGACACATTCCCAGCCCCCAAAGAATTCTGAAGCTAACTCCAGGCAGCTGCTATAGTTTTTCTTTTCCGGCCTGGGTTGTGTCACCTGAGATGTCTTAGGGTTTCTACTGCTGTGAGGAAACACCATGACTGAAAAGAAAGTTGGGTTGAAAGGGATCATTAGACTTACACTTCCCTGTGAATAGGTGTTTTCCTAGTTAAACAGAGGCTTTGTGAAGCTACGGCATCATAAATTGAACATAACTGTGCATGCAGGGGCCATATGTCACACAACATAATTAATGCCAAACATCCATTCCAACTCTCCATGGTGCTGCCCCTGGAGTGCTGAAGTTGGCTGGCTCTGTCCTGCAAATGACAGCACCTGCCCTTTGGATACTAAGGCAAGATCCTCACCTAAAATCATAGCATGTCCCATGGTCGCGTTGTTGTCTGCACAGGCTTTGTGCTGTGTTCACCCCTATTGTCCTTGTCTTTCTACACCCACTAACAACCTACAACTGAAGTTTCCATAGGAAGGGTTCAGGACTCTCCTACTGCCTCATGAGGATAGGACTGTTGCTAATACCAGCATTCCTTATTGTATGTTATGTCAGTGTGTGTGTGTGTGTGTGTGTGTGTGTGTGTGTGGGTGCGTGTGTGTGCATTTGTGCATATGAGTGTGATATATATAGAGAGATAGATATTTGAAGACTTGTGCAGTCAATACTCCCCTGCAATCTTTTGGGTCCTGGTAATCCCATTCTGGTTGTTTGGCTCACCATCTAGTGTCTTTAGCCAGCAATCCTGGGATTCGACCTGTGGGTCATGACCGCTTCACAGGGGTCAGTCCAGACCACTAGAACACTGAGATATGTTATACTCTTACCAGGAGCAAATTTACAGCTATGAGGTAGCAATGAGAATACTTCTGTAGTGGGGGACAGCACAACAGGAGGAACTGTATTAAAGGGTCTCAGCTCTGGGAAGGTTGAGAATCACTGCACTAGGCCCTCTCATCAGCAACACCCAGGGCTTTGAAGTATCTTTAAGGTACATTTAGAGATGCACACATGCATTTTAATTATGCAAAGAGATATATAATATTTAAAGTCTGTTCATGTTACTGAAAATAAATGAAAATATTTATTGGACACAGGGCATGTAAGAAATTGAGACACCAAAATATAGATTTCTAGGTCAAGTATCAAGTATCTATAGGATCATCAGTTATGAGGATTTCCCCTAAAAAAATTAATGTTTTGTCCCATCTGAACCTGAAAACCAACATGGATGACATAGAAGGATTTTTATTTTTTTAAACTGCGGGGAAAAGTTACTGTGGTTTAAAAGGGAAGTAGCTCATGGCAGGGAATGGATGAGGGAAAAGCGGGGAAGAAAACACATTTCCTTTATCCATGGAAGTCAGATACAGGCAGAGAACAGACAAACAGCCACAGGGCAAGAAAGAAGGAGAGCTTGGAGAAGGAGTAAGAATGTGAGGGAAAGCATGCAGATCAGAAACAGTAAAAGAAAAAAGAAAATTACATTATCTGAGTGTAACGATATGATTTTCTGCCTGCTGCTTGGTCTTGTCCTGCTGCTGCGCCAGCCCCAAATGCCCATGTGGCTAATAAGAACTTCCACTTAAAATTTAACAAAAGCATAAAAAAGGGTTTTAGAAACAAAAGAACAGAGACAAGCAAGGCTTCTTGGTAGCAGCATTTTTCTCAGTTGGACTCTGATTTTTGAGAGACAAGCAGATATTTGCACGTCTCCTTTAAGGGAAATTTCCTGACTCAGCATAAAGTGGCAAAAAACTGTATGGCTTTTAAATAACTCTGCTAATAATTTATTGGTGTGTATGAGAGATGACAATGGCAGGGACCACATCGCCAAGCCAGCAGCATGGGGCTGGATGGCAGCTCAGACCAAGGCAGAGAGCACAGCTCTCACTACTGGTGGTAAAATAGCTGCCGCCATCTTGGATAGACCGTGACTAACACAGCTATGATTTTCATTTCAGCAATGTTGTTGTTTATCAAATAAAAGACTCATGGCCAGAAAAAGATAAAGATTTACAGTAAA